TATATATATATATATATATAGTTTTGTACCATTGTTGACCTGTAGACCTGATGCCGTGAAAGATGATGCTGAAAAGTGAAGGACATGGATGAGAGTATTGTAATTGCAGGCTTTGGTAAAAAAGTTTTCCGAAATCTGCTGGTGAAGGATGAAGTGATATTTATGTATTTAATGAATACAGTCGTTGATTTATCATGTCTTTATTTTCGTTTGCTGGAGCTACCACTGTTTTTTCTCCCTTGAGTACGGGTACTTTTGGTTCATTTTTTTAAATAGTCAGTCGTGAAAGTTGTTTAGATTTATCGAAGGGTTATCAGTCTTTTATTTTCCTTTCTTTTCGTTGATATTACGTATTTTCTAACTTTTTTTACTTTGTTTTGCTCTTTACTGCTATGATAATTAAAATTATTTTTTACAAACAATTTATAATCCATTAATTTTCTTGAAAAATTAACGTTTTCATAGTGAAACACACTTATAAAGGGCAATAACAGTGCGTTATTCATCGGCGCAAATATTGTTAGACATTCATAATTTTTGCTATGTGCCTGCTTGTGAGAGCTTCAGTAAGTGTATAATGTTGGTTGTGTCATAATATCAACTGTTTTGAGGACTTTAATGAGGAGCAAATAATGGACGCAAAACATCGTTGATGAAGATGAATTCCTGTTTGTATATAATCCCTTCGCGTGCTGTTCGTGCATTATCGCCATATCATTTTCGTGCTCCGTGGCCGTTTGTTAAAAAGGTCGGTTTTTTTAAACGGGATTTTTTTTTTTCTGAGCTTTACCGGTTACTTGCTACGGTAGGGCCGTGGTGTACTTGCGGTTGTAGAGGGCACGACAGCGAGCCGGGAAAACAAAAGAGTTTGAAGAGTATTTAAAAAAAAATGTGTACTTTTAATGAAAAAAGGAATTCAGGAATAGAGGGTAGAGATAAGTTGGAGGTATTGGGCAAAAGTCATGAAATTTTTTCTAAGGAGAACAGAGTGTTCATTTTTGAGCTGTCAGAATTGGTGAAAGTGAGGAAGAAATTTTTAACTACATTTTTTTTCTGGAAACTACACTTCCTGCAGTGAAAAGGAGAGGTAGAGTTTTGTAAAGAATCATGGAAATAAAAGTATTCATCCAAGATGTATTTGATGCCTTGAGTATTTTTTTATTGCGGGAGAAATTCAGTTTGGTCAGCTCAATGTTGTTGAAAATAAAAAAAAAATATACTGTCTCATCATCACTTTTTTTCATAATAAATTTCTAACTGAATTTGGTATGAGGGCGTAATAGTCGTATTACTCAAACAGTTTATTGTTTGTTTTGGAAAACGGTAAGGAAGTGAAAGGTAAAGCCATTTTCGGAGTGTTTTAATTAATGATATTCTGTTCTCGGCGTATATCCGGTCGTCGTTTCATGCATATTATTTGTGAATTAAAGACTAACTGAATCATTGTTGAAATGTTTATGGGATTTTTAGTGGTGTAGTGGTGTTGAGGAAGTAGAAGTAAATGGTTATTTAAAAAACCAAGTGTATTGTCTTGACGTCAGTTTGTTGGTATTACTAGAATCGCGTTTCGACAGAACTTTCTGGCTGTACTGTTGAGGAGGATAAATTTGTAGACTCGTAATTTTGTTACCTGGCTGGGGCGGCCTGATTCACACATTGAAAATATTTGTTTACCAACTCGCCGACTAAAATATATTTATTTAGGGAAGACTTGGACATCGCAAAATTGGACCAGTTTTTTATGAGAGTTGGAAATACCCCGGTCAAAACCATGAATTTCCAGAAATTTCACCCAAATTTCAGAGTTTGAATCTTCCTGAAACGAGAAGTTTGTGTTAGAAACTTGTTCTGCTTGATCCTTGTTACACTGTTGTTGCTTACTGCGTCGGATTTTTTGCAGATTATACCAATGTTCAGCTAGAAGGGTACGAGGATCCTGTGACAAAGAAATTTACTGTGGTCAAGGAAATGCAATGCGAAATCATAGTACCCAATCTAGATAACTTTAAATTAAAGCCATACGTTTCGTACAAGACGGATATTGAAATCGAAAAAAGGTAACTCTCTGACCATTATTAAAAATTCCTTTTGTAAACTCGCAATTAAGGGTTGAGCGAACAGGTTTAACGGTTTTCTAAAGCCCGTTAGGGAGAACCTAGGTGAAAATTTAGAAATTTTTTGGCCGTACTTTAAAACGGCATAGAAAGTGTGATTCTTAAATTCCATAAAATGAAATGCCTATGTGATTTTCATCTGCCTTCCCCAATATTCTTCTTCTAAGATTTTTTAAATTTGGTAAGAACTTTAACTGCACATGTACTTTGAGCGGCGCTTAAGGGCAAAACAGTTTTTATGCGCATAGGACAAATTTTCAAATTTTTGTTTAGACGCCAGGCGTACGAAACTGCTTTGCGCGACGTGGGAAGTGAGGAATTGGCTGATCAGAAAGTAAATGAGGACGAACGATGGCCCCCGCCACAGTTAACTCCTAGGGCACTTTTCGACTTATTTTACGCACCGCGTGTAAAGTAAGTGACGTCTTGTGCTCTTTCAAGATCATTTGTTTTTTATATACCAGGACTTCCAGTTCATTGCTTTTAATATGCTTTCGTTGCAAATTTAAATAAAATTTGTTTGTTTGCAGAGAAATGTTTAGTAGTGGTCAGTACGGCGTCACTAATGACGAAGAGGAATCTGTATTCAGACCCCTTAAGAAATAGCAAGTGGTGGAACTTTAAAATCCTTTTCTTTTGTAGTTTCACTGGTATTTCTTGCTATTAATTTTTAGCTATAATT